AGAGCCCTATTATAGTGTTTCTACAATACAATATTTGCTAGAAATTTATACAATACGATTCTTGAACCAAAGTAGATATTACTATATATTAATGGGATTTTGCAAACACCTTTATAACTGAAACTTGATTGCTTTTTTGACAGATTGTGTGTTCCTTTCTTGTTCGTGATATGGGTATAGATTGGCGCATGGGAGCAGAATGGTTTGAGACATGTCTTTTGGATTATGATCCATGTTCTAATTATGGAAACTGGACTTATGGATCAGGTAACTTAAATATATTTTGGATAACTATGCTAATCAACTAATGCACGTCCAAGAGTGCATGGAGAAGTAGGTCTGCATGTACCAAATTATTTATCTTGATTTTTTTATTTTAGAAAATGTTTATCTTGAATCCGATATTATCTTTCAAATTTTTACCTGTAAGCCAGTCTGTGCCCTCTAAACTACCAGATTTTGGTGAATAAGGATTTGGGGCATTCCATCATTTGTTAACATAGCCATGTTGATGAATACTATTATTTGGACCATTCAGATTCTTTTGCTAGTTTGAGATTTGGTTGTTTATATTTGTGTATGTTATTATTAAGCTTGCTCGGATCATGATATGCCATGTTCACATTACTATTCAGTTTATGAATTTTTAAACAATGAAAACTACAATACATACTCACTGTGTTCTTCCTGTTCAGGAGTTGGGAATGATCCCAGAGAAGATCGTTATTTCAGCATCCCAAAACAAGTAAGTGGCTATTAGGAGTTTCAAAATTTCACAATACATGATTTAACCAGAGTGATCCTCACCTTCACTTGCAAATGCTATAACTATGAAAGTATGTGCCCTGCGTGGTTTTGATTTCGGAAGGGCAAGGGCATCTGGTTAGGTGCATTATTGGTCTTAAGGATTTGTATGTCATTATAATTTAGGATAAATTACTTGGTTGTACCTAAACTATTTGGGAATTTTTAAGTAGGTCTCTAAATTTTAAAAGAAAAATAATAATAATTTGAGTTCTTGATCATATAATTTTTTTAACTGGGCCCAAAGGTTTTTAAAACCATCATGAATTGTCGAATTTCAAGCCACCAATTATTATATATATATATATATATATATTTAGTTTAAGAATCTATTTGAAAATTCTCAAATAATTTAGAGAACAATCTATAATTTAATATCACTATAAAAACATGTATAATTTAATATGGAATAATTTTCCTCTAAGCTTGAACCGTTAGGTTAAGGCTCGTGATTGATTTTGTATCTACCACGCCTCTTCCTATCCTACTAGAGCTCTTTGGACTTCTATGTGTGCTCCAAGCTTATCTTGTCCTAAAATTCAACTATTATTTAGAATGATAGAAACTACGTACTAAGACAAAAATTTGGTCAGTTGGTCAAAAAGGTGTCACAGACTTGCTCTCCCGAAAGTTTAGTGAAGAACTGAAGGTTTATGAACCTTTTATATATAACACAATCATAACAAAAACTAGTAGCTGTGAAGTGTATGATTTGAAAGGCTTGCAATTTAGATATATTTGATACATATTAGATAAAGGACTAGCTGAAGAATGGCTTGGGAACAGCAATTGGAGTGAACTTAAATTTTGGACCTGATCGATACGATACTATATCATACATGTTTTCAGGCTCAAACATATGACCCTGAAGGTGAGTATGTAGCATACTGGTTGCCACAGTTGCGGAAAATCCCAAAGGAGAAAAGGAACTTTCCTGGAAATTTACTATACATTCCTCAAGTTGTGCCTCTCAAGTTTGGAACAGCTAGTGGACACAATAAGGACAAGTCTTATGGTGCAAGAAGAACCAACGATAGAGGAAGTGACAGAAGATGGAACAGGAGATAAACTTGGAGAAGAGAAAAAGAAATATTACAGCTCCCATCATTCTAATTTCCCCTGGTGAATGCCTTCCTTCAATGGGGTGTCGAAATCTTCTGCATGATGACATGAGGTTGTCATTCCCTAGTTCTGTTGCGTGTCCTAGGGGCCTGCTCTGGTGTATCAAAGAATATCAATATATACTTTTGGATTTTTAGTTTTTTCATAATTTAACTTAATTATTATTGATTCTTGTTCTGTTGTTATGACTAGTGTTTTCTTTTTCGTCGCTGAATGAGGGAAAGGAGATTTGATCCAGTTTCATTCCTCACTGTAATAAACATGTACTTGTAAGGGATCTTTAGAACTTTACGCTGTGAGATAAAGTGAAATGATACTTGCCTTCCATCGAGTATCTTCATAACAACTCTCTAAAATATTTGAACCCAAAGCTTGTGCAGATAATTTTATGCGCTAAGATTTATTTGAAAATGACCAGGACAAATAATAGAACGTCAATAGCATAGTATTTTTTAATATACTTTCTTAACATGTGTTTTCTTGATAGATGGAATTCATATAAGACAAATCAAGTGATGTGGATCATATTTCTTTGAGAACTTGCTCAAATATCACTTAATATAATATTTGCTCTAAAATATTTGAACCCAAAGCTTGTGTAGATAATTTTATGCGCTAAGATTTATTTGAAAATGTCCAAGACAAATAATAGAACGTTAATAGCATAGTATTTTTTAATATACGTGCTTAACATGTGTTTTCTTGATAGATGGAATTCATATAAAACAAATCAAGTGATGTGGATCATATTTCTTTGAGAACTTGCTCAAATATCACTTAATATAATATTGTGTGAAAAATAGATTCTACACATTCCGTTGGTTTTGTATTGACGTTAGCAGTGTTATGTCCATCAGTTCATCCTAATAAAAGCACATAATAAGAATTAGCCAATTAGAAATGATATTAAAGAAACTTCTAGATATTTTTTAGAAGAACTTCTAGATATCTAAGAATAAAATGATATAGTGTTAACTTTTAAATTTACTGGAAACAGTTTTTATTTTTTATTTTATTAAGTTTGTAAGAAAGTTATCCAATTACATTATTATTCTATCATAAATCATGATGTTAACTTTTATAATAAATAATTAAACTTTTAAATCAATGATGAATTTTGAAAATACATTGTTGAAATAATAAAATATTTAGAGAGTTGAAGGTTGCTCTAGGCACGATAGGTGCTTTCTCAAATATGCTTTTTAACTTGAGTCACAATGTGTTTTTTTGGTGTTTTGAGCAAATTTTGGTCGCTTAAAATAAGTTGGGGGTTGTTCCAAGTGAGCTTGAGTGGTTTCTTAGAGGTGTTCTCTAACTTGGGTCACTTTAGTCACTTAGGATGAGTTTTAGGGTGCTTTAAGTAAATTTTGGTCGTTCCAAGCGAGCTAACCTCGCTTAAGTGAACAATTGACTCGTTTAAATAAGTAGATGGCCGAATTTGCTTTTGTGGTCTTTATAAAAGTTGTAGTTTTAAATGTTAGCTTTTCAATGACTTTAGATTTACCTAAACAAGAAGTTATCAACATTTAGGTAAATTATTATGATTTTGTGATTTTTAGTATAGTATATGATGAAGTTAGAATTTAAAGTTTTCATAAGAGTTGTAGAGAATTTTTTTTATCTTTCATATGAGATAAAGATAAGTTTGATTAGAGTAGTTGAACTCCTTATCTATTATTTTATGTGAAGATTGTCATTATAGGATAAATGTTTCGGATAAGTTGTACGTTGATACATGTTGTATGATGAATATGAATAAACAATTTGAGTTCTATTGCATGTTGTATGGTGTACGATGATGGTTCTACATGTGCTTATTAGATATGATATGTGTAGATGTTTGTTTGGTGTTGGATGAAGATGAGTATAGGTATGATGTACATATGTATAATGTATGATTTTGGATAGCATTGATATACCTTGTATGGATGATGTTGTTGATCTCTATAAGTATTGACTAGGTGTGATGCATAAAGATGATGTATGGTAAGGTGTGGATGCTGAGAATGCGATATGACTTTAAATCTTGGAGTGATGCTTGGGTAGGTCACTGTTGGAAAATATTCATTTAATAGATGTGTCTCTTGAAGTGGGTTTTGAGTCTCTTCTAATTCCTTAGTTAATGTTTGAATAAGATAGGAGGTTGAAGACTGCAACCCTTAACCAAATACTTGGACAAGTTGTGTGATTTCTTGAGGATGATCATGGGCTAACTTCACATATGACTTGATAATGCATGTCAAGGTCGTGGTAAACATATATCCAACTGTACCACTCTTAATGATGAAATCAGACTTTTCTAATGTAAGTGAGGAAACATGAGAAATCAAAAGAGGGATTGGTATCCTAATTTGTTATGATTGAGCCGATGCTTCAAACGTGAAAATGATTAGATTGATTTACTAAGGTGTAAATCACTTAGACTGCTCATGTTGTTAGGAGATCTCCGTAGGTCAATGCATGATGATGCATTGATTGATGTGTTTGCATATGATGGGTGTCGAGGTGTGTGTTTATATGCATTGTTGATATTTTGTGTGACATAATTTGGATGAGATACATGTTTGCTTAGAATATTATAACTTTCATGTATGGTTGTAGTGTTATGTTGTATATTATAGAATTAATGGTAGAAATTCTATTGAATGTAATGGTGATGACAGGTCGCTACATAAATTATATTAAATTAAATTTATATGAATAATTATTTTTAAATATATAAAATTTATTTTATATTTATAAAAAACTTACTTATATTATATATGATATATAAAAATTGAAATATACACAAGGTTAAAAAAAATATAAAAACTTTTTCGTTAAAGAAAGGTATTAAAAAAAATTAAGAGAAATTTGCTAAAAACATACTATGCAAAATTTGTTTTCGTATTTAATATATAAGGTGAGTTTTATAATTTTTATTAATAAACAAAGATTATTAAAAATAATTTATAAATATACTCATAAAAAAATACTACTTTATAAATATAAAACGTACTTAATATAAAAGAATGAGGAAAACGAGTAGAAGATGTAATGTAACAGAAAGATTTATAATTATTGAATTTTCATTACAAGTTAAACATAGAATCTAAGTTTCCGTCGTGGGTCGGAGCAACAACAACATTGTAAAATTTATACTCGTAGAACTACGGTATTTCTTTTCCTTTCCTTTCCGATAACACCATTTTCACGTTACCCCAATGATTAAGGCACCGTGGGTTTCATCGGTACCAATTTAGAAACCTTACCCCTCATATGCTTTTCGTTTTCCAATTCCAATAGCTTCGGAGGTCAAAATTTCGATACGTTGATTGAGTGGAATCCAATCCAAGCATTCATTCCGTTCAACCTTTGTGCTCCGCGTTCACGTAGCGTGTGGAAAGCAGAAAAAGAGAACACGCGGTTGCGAGATCCAAAGGATCGACGTAAGATCAACCACAGAAGCAGGTATGTTTCTCCAATAGTTTCTTCCTTCGTTGATTCATTAATTGTTCGACCATCGGAAGAAAATTAATTCTTCGAATGTTATGTATTGTTAGTGACTGAAATTGTTGCGGCGAATTTGAATCGTGGGATTTTTGTAGGAGATGGCGGATGACAAGGAGGTTGGGGAAGGTGAGAAAAGAGAGACGAGTAGTGACGCCGGGAATAATGGGAAGAAGAAGCGTAAGGGTTTCTTTTCGCGACTTTGGAACGGGATATTTAGGTTACACGGCGATGATTTTGAGAAGAGACTGCAATACATTTCTAAAGAGGAGGCTCTAGTTATGACCAGGATGAACAGGAGATCCCGGTCCTGGAGGAGAATTTCGCGGCATCTTATTGTGTTTTCTGTCATATTTGAGGTGTGTTAATGCTTGATTATGCGTTTTTCATTTAACATTTATTGTTAATCAATAATAATGCATGCTTTTCTGCTTTTCGTTGTGAGATTGGTGTTTGTTTCAGTTTATCTTATTTTGTCCTTTAAATATGACAGAAGTTTCGGTTATTCTCCTTTGCCAATGTGAATGAATGTTAAAAGGAATTGAAATTTTGGTTAACCTATTCACTTGGTTCTTGTAGTTGTCTATATTTTTAAGTGTTTGTCTTTATATATGAAAACTGTAAGTTTTGGTCCCTGTACATGCATAGAAGTTTAAGTTTTGGTCCTTGATGCCAATGTTTGAGAAGAATGTCTAGCGGTATAAAATTGCAACAAAAACTCTGGCAGGGATAAACCACTATAAAAAAACTGTGTAGGGAAGGAAACTTATAGAGACTAAAACTTAAAATGGGGACAACTATAGGGGCCAAGTGAATAACTTAACATAAAATTTTTAACTCCTACCAGAAAATTGTTATTATATTACTGTGAGATTTATTTTTTTTTTTCCGGGAGAATTAGAGTTTAGAACCATCAGAGCTACTTAATGACACTTTTGCAGAGATGCGGAGCAAATAGTTAATCGCATTGTTCATTCATTTTTATTGACTAGCCACCTACGTGGTTACTTGGTTTCTCTAATCTCTATTTCTAAATAAGTTGCTCTTGTGGTGCTACCCGGTTACTCCTTTTTTTATATGGTAATTAAAATAACAAATGGATTTTGCTTAAAATAGCTCCAATTTTCAGGTTGTTGCGGTAATATATGCTATTATGACAACAAGAACAATGGATATGGATTGGAAAACGAGGGCAATCAGGGTTTTGCCAATGTTTGTTTTGCCTGTACTAGCATCTGCTGTCTATACAGCATTTATCAGCTTCACAAGGATGCGTAAGTGACTTAAGTTTTACAATTAACATGTGCATCTTGCAGGGGCTAGTGTTGGTGTACATTTTTATTTCTATTTGACAATTGAAGTTTTGGATGTATGTTGTGTGTTCTACCATGATTTAGAGTACCAAGTGTTGCATAATCTGCAGTTGTCATCTATGTTGATGGAATCTTAACTCTTACATTGTAATTATCAAATTTGACTTCGTCAGGAGGTCTGATTTATGATACAGCTTACTATTGAAAAGAACTTTGAATTTATTTGTCGTTATAATTCTTTTCCTAGAAGTTAGGATGGGAAAGTTTCAAAAGTGAGTTTTAAGCAAATAATTGTTGATCAACTTCTGTCAGCAATGCCTTCAAGAATTGGTAGAGCCAGTCGAAGTTTTAGTACTTTCCTAGGTGAATGCTTTTTATGAAAGAGTGTCTGATTTTCTTCATGTTGTCATACCCAGCTCCACTTTAGCCTGCAAATGCTGATATCAATGCTTTATGACAATAGCCAGTAGGTTTTAAAATTCATTAGAAGTTCCTAAATTTCATGTAATCATGTTCAATCGGCTCTAATGAAACTTATGTGAAGAGAAAGATGCATGAAGGAGAAGCATTTGATACTTGTAAGTAATAAGTAGTTTCTCACCATCAAATCAATACTTAGTTATAAAAGCTATTACTCACAATTCTAATGATTTTAGCATTCCAATTTAACGATGCAGTTTTTGGACAGGCAAACTAGTGCTTGGAGTTTTATAATTTATATGGCAAGCAAAAACAAAATTCCCTCACCTTTTGAATTTTTAATTTATAATGTGGGGTTTTATAGGTGATCGCAGGGACCAGAACATTCTTGAAAGGCTTCGAGCTGAAAGGCAAGAAAAAATTGATGAGCTCAAAGAAAAGACAAATTATTACACTACTCAACAGCTCATTCAGGTGATTGTTTGAAGCAAGGCTTGTTACATGGTTTTCAATATCAGCTTTCTTTCATTTCATTCTGTTTGGAGTTGACAAAATAATTTCAGGGTTGTAGTTTGCTGGGGTTCATTAACATTGAAATATTACGCTGAAAGACAGTGGATTATTTAAATTTTCAGAATCCTTTCAAGTTTGATGACATGGCTCCTAATTCTCAGTTACTTATAAATTTTTTATCCATGACATTCAAAATCCAGTGCTTCTATTTTTTTTAAAGAATCAATAGAGTGAACATGTGAATAAAATCACGTGAATGCTGTAATCAAGGTTCATTTATTTCATTGATTTAAGAGGCTATGCCCAGACATATGCTTTAAAGTGCATTACTGAAGAGAAGATCTTGATGGTATCCATTTGCAGCTGCTTTAATATTATTGTGTGTTATGCTTGTGATCTACTCAGAGATATGATCCAGACCCAGCTGCCAAAGCAGCAGCTGCATCTGTTTTAGCATCTAAGATGGGCGCAGATTCTGGTTTGAAAGTGTACATGGGAGATGAATCCAATCCTGGTGCTCCAGTAGGGAAGAGCAATGATGTTGAACTTGTGCAGTCCACTGGACTTCGAAATCGAAAACAAGTTCAATATAGATCCTCATCCACTACTCCAGGGACAGCCACACCAAATTCTGGTTCAGGGGGAATGGATCAAACTCAGACTTTTGACCACAATCAGCCGGTTGTTGTTGAACATCACCAACCTCAAAGTTCATCCACACAAGATGGAGGATGGATTGCACGAATTGCAGCTTTACTTGTGGGTGAGGATCCAACACAGTCATATGCTCTCATATGCGGTAACTGCTATATGCATAATGGTAAGGGGGCTAGATTTCATCTTTTATGTTCATGTCCTTTTGCATTTTTGTATTAGACCATACTAATAATAGATGAATACAATGGTCAGAAAATGTGTATTTTTATCTATTTATTTTGTTTCAGGTCTAGCTCGGAAGGAGGATTTCCCATTTATCACGTACTACTGTCCTCATTGTCAGGCCCTGAACAAACCCAAGCAATTGGATATCCCTGGTCTTATTTCTCCAACCACGGGTACTCCAAAAGCAGACAATGGTGAGACTGATGCAGTTAAAAATGCTCGGGCTTTTACAGCCGAGAGCATAATCACAAGCAGTAGTCCCAGAAGTATTGCTAGTTCTGAGATAGAGGAGGTATCTGAAAGGGCAAGTTTGGACGAGAAAGTTGATTAAAAGGACAGCCATTTTTTGATGATTCAACTTTTGGGATGACTGTCTTGCCCCTTGTTCTGGGCATGAACTGACTATATATACGGGGAGGAACTTTACAATTGGTTTCCTTGGTTGGCTGCAGAAGAGTGCTGAAATACTTTGATACTTCTTGTGATTTGTGATACATAGATTACACGTATTGTTTGTGAGTTAAAGCAATTTTGGCTTCTTTTTTTCTTTCTTTTTCTGTGGCATTATATTGTGACAGTGTTCTAGTTTTAAAACTTGGATTGTACTTGTACCTGAAAGAAATTTTGAATACTGGTCTTGTATCCATTTTGTTTAATGGGTTTAAATTTGATGCATTCGACCATCCTAGCCTTGAACTCATAGACCACGATTTCATTCTAGGATTAACTAAGTCACTGAGGTAGCTGATTGGAACTCCTTAGTCCAATGTCATGTAATGTTCTGATATTTTGTATGAATGCTGTATATACGAGAATTATTTATTAAAGCATCTATTATTGTACTTGAACGTCTGGAGAGCACTATTCATTTGTTCCATCATCATTTTATTGATTTCTTGAGTATTTGATGTAAAAGAAAGGGAGGAGTGAAGGAGTTATATTTAAGGTTGTTTGGGAGAGATGAAATAGAGAAGATGAGAAGGAAAGAGTAAAGAACCTGTGTCATAATTTTGAGTAACATAACTAATTATGTATGTATATAATATATTCTCTACCATATTATATATATATAATTGATTATTTTATTATACATTATAGATTATGTTAAATAATATAATTGATTATAATATATAATTTTTTATTATAATTAAAAAAATTATTTTTTTGTTTATATTTTTAAAATTAAACAATTTCTTAAAAATTTCTACTTTTCATACATCTCTCTTATTAAATAATTTTATTTTTATTTATTATTTATTTATTTTTTCTATTTCTTTCATCATCGAAAACATGCATAAGTTATTAATGTAGATACTGACTCATTGGGACCGGGACCGCTGCTTCAAGTCACGTGCATCACTTACAAAAAAGCTGCAAGTACAATGGAGTATTGAGCTGAGCATTTGAACTTACTTATTTATTACGTAATGATATCTCTCTGGCCTGTTCAATTTTAGTGGTCGATTAATTGTGTAAGGAGACATATATTTCCGCACAATTTTTTCTAATAAATTAAATTCATTCCACTTTAAATAGTACTGTTAAAAAAATTATTTCAATCTAGATTACTGAAAAAACTTAAATTAAGATAAATTGTAAAAAAATAAATTAACTTTTAAAAAATTGAAATGAAATATATTTTAAATTGGGTTTTAAATACATGTTTTTTAAAAAATGTCATTTTTCTTCTCTTACATTAAACAATAAACAGTAAAGACTAAAAATTAAAATAAAATATATTTAATTTACAATGTATTTTAATATAAATAAATTAATCAAATATAATTTTAAAAATTAATTATATATAATAAACATTTACAATATGTAAAACATAGATTAAAATATTAGTATTATATGGAGACTAAACATTAGTGTTAAATATTAGTACTTGAAATCATAGAAAAAAGTTGCAGACGTTTTAAATGATATTACCATATAAATATTAATATTATATGAATACTAAACCAACTTGAAATCATTAAAAAATTACACATTTTTTAAATAATATTATTATATAAATATTTTTATTTTTATTTATCATTAAAATCACACGCTACGCGATGAAACGGAGGATATTTTCATTAGCTGTCACTTTTCTTTTTTTTGTTTAGATCCTGCAATTTGCAAGGATTGCCATAATGGACATCGTGTTTGGGATTCTCTTATTTATCTCATATCTCATGGATGATATTGATATTAGATAAATATCTAATGAACTTAAATCTAATCCACTAACCGATGCTATATCAAAATACGATTAATGTAGAAGTCCACTTTTTAAAAATACATTTACGTTTATTAATTAAAAATTTATTAAAAGTTATAAAATAAAGTGTAGAACTTGTTAAATCATATTTTTTTAATAAATTTTAATCATTCAAAGAGAACGTGTTTTAAAAAAAAAACGTTGGTAATTAATAAGGAATCCAAAAATTTTAAGTAATAGAGATAATATTCATAGTATTAAATTTATAATAATTTTATAATATTTTTAACATAATATAATTTATATATTTCAATATAATATTTATTTATTTATATAATTTTTCATAATTTTCTATTATATTTAATAAATATTTAATTTGCACATATAAAATATTTTAATAAAATATTTATTCATTTGAATTTAATGATCAATATAAACTTTTTATATAATTAATTGATAAAAAAATTCTAAATAAATATTTTTAAATAATGATATTTTTAAAAAAAATATCATATATAATAACTTTTAATTAAATATTTTATATTATTTGTGTATAACTTATTTATTTATCTTATTAATTAATTTGTTGAGTTTTAAGAAAAATGATAAATATGATGATAATGTAAAAGGGAAAAAGGTGATATGTAGGGGTAACCTCTGGCACAGGAGCTGAGTCCTCTGACTCAAACTTGACCCATCCATTCTCCCCCTTCTTAGTTCTGACATGACATTCTCCATCCAAACCCAACAAAACTCTGTCCCCTTTCAATTTTCAATCTCATCCCTCTCTCTCTCATCACTCTCTCTCTTTCTCACCCCTTCCTGCTCTGCAACCTCTTAGGTAATTCTGTAATTTTATTTTATTATTTACATTCAGTAATTTTCAATGAAAGTAAATATTAAAATAAAAAATAAAAATAAAAATAAAAACAAAAAATCTTCTTCCTCTTATTTTCCCCCTTTCTCCAGAATCGGAAGTGTTCCTTTGATCTTGCAGTTACTAGCAGCTTCGTTTTTCTCCTCTCAGGTAACATTACAACAACAATTTTTCTCCCTTACTGCCATTCGTTTAAGAAATTTTCGGTTAATTATTTTTGATTCTGATCAATCTCTGGAATGTTTCTCATTCCTCCTTGCTTCGTCTATTCGTTTATCGAATTCGGTAGAAAATTCTAGGGTTCTACTTGCTTTCCTCTTGTTTTGTCAAATTTTTTTGTGTGCATTTTCTACTGTGTAATGATCGCCAAAAGGCGTTGTAATGTGTCCGAATAGAAAGAACCACTACTTCGATGGAAAATTTCTGAAGCATTGTTTGAGATACATTGCTAGTATACTTGTTCGCAAGTGATGCATTTGATATAAATTTGATATGCTGCTTTTCTTCTTTTTTTAAAGAAATTTTGGAAGGATATGGAATTGTTGAATGGATATTTGTCAGTTATGTCCTAAAAAAGTTGTTATTACGCTATTTTGGTTTCTCAGGGCTAGGTTGCAGTACTTAAATTATAGAATGAGTAGACCAACAACAAGAAGTAAAAATAAAAGACAGAGGCAAGGGGATGATGGCACTGGCACTGGTGAAATATGGAGGTACCAACGGATGTTCAGCTTTTAGTTTGTGAAATGAAATGAAATTTGTTAATCCTAATTTTTTTAGCATTGTAAATTGTTTTTATGCCTTTTGTATAGGAAAATTTACAATACAGGTACAATAACTGAGGATGACATGAATCAACTATATATGATTTGGAAGCCAGTTTGTTCAGGCTGTCGAGTCAATACCAAAGATAATCCAAATTGCTTCTGTGCATTAGTTCCACCTCCAAATGGAGCCCGAAAGTCTGGCTTATGGCAAAAGATGTCAGATTTTGTTGAAACTCTTGGCCATGACCCAACCAAGGATCTTCGTGCATCTGCTAATTCTCCTGCAGGTCTCACAAATCTTGGTGCAACATGCTATGCTAACAGCATTCTCCAGTGCTTGTACATGAATGAATCTTTCCGAGAAGGCATATTTTCTGTAGAACGAGATGTTCTACAACAACAGCCTGTGCTAGATCAGCTGGCTCGACTTTTTGTGCAGTTGCATATTAGCAAAATGGCTTTCATAGATTCTTCTCCATTTGTAAAAACACTGGAATTAGATAATGGAGTTCAGCAGGATAGCCATGAATTTCTGACATTGCTTCTCTCTTTGCTTGAGCGTTGTCTGAGCCATTCCAAAGTTCTCAAGACAAGAACAATAGTTCAAGATCTTTTCCGGGGAAGTGTGTCTCATGTGACGACGTATGAATCATTGAAGCTGAGCAACTTATTTAATAACAAAAAGCTTTTCCTTATAATATTCTAGTTTTTTAGCCTGTTATATATTTGCTCAACAACCAATCTATAATTTTCTCTTTTAATTTTGACCCCTCTCAATCCTTCCACCAGAAGCATTAAAAATGAAAACCTGAAAAGCAATCATAAATGCTGCAAATGTTGTTAACATGTAATGTGATTGTCTGGTGAGTGTTGTTGAATCTTTCCACATGTGTATCTGAGTTTGTTTTGTCTGGGAGAGTATTTTTAGTTTTGTCTATGATTATATTGCATTAACATGAATGTTACATACTTAAGTTCTGAGTACTGTTTGTTGTTGTAATATACTTCACGAGACTTAATTTTTTTCATAACTGATCAGATCTCAGAAGTAACTCCCATAATTTATGTATATATGATCTTAAAATTGTCTTCATATACCTTCATGTTAAATGTATGATTGACCAATTGAGGCCATGTTTATAAGTTATATGACTATGACCTTTGCTGCACATGTATCTAATATGATATGAATCTAATAAGGCTATATGCTTATTTTAATATATATATATAGGATATGATGCTTGTAAGGTACATATTTAAATATGTATAAAATTCCACAAACAATAATAAATATGCAATCACAATTCAGCATATCCAAATCAAGAACATACTTTTTGGACATTACTATAAACAAAATAAAAACTATAAAACATTTGTCATTATAAATCCTTCCTATTGCCTACAATTAGGAATAGTATTAATCTCATTCCTTCCCTACGATCATCCAGAAAGAGAACAAATTTCATTTTTCTATTAACAAACAATGCTTTTATGGTTTTATATTATATATGCTTCTGTCTCATATTTAGCTATATTAGAATTTGTTAACTATCTGTATAGGCTTGAATATTTCACAAATAGGTTATGGTGAAGTATCCAAGATTATCGTATTGGATATGTATTAGATATAGATACACATAGCAAATTAGAGTATTAATGCTTCATAGACTGTGACTCTTACATATTTCTTATAATTTAATGACTTATTATGCAGGTGCTCACGATGTGGAAGAGACTCTGAAGCTTCTTCCAAAATGGAAGATTTCTATGAATTGGAGTTGAATGTCAAGGGATTGAAAAGTTTAGATGAAAGCCTCGATGAATATCTCACTGTTGAAGAGCTTAATGGTGACAATCAATATTTTTGTGAGTCATGTAAAACAAGAGTTGATGCTACACGTAGCATCAAGCTATGTACATTACCCAAAGTACTTAATTTTCAGCTTAAGCGTTATGTCTTCCTTCCAAAGGTATTGTGATAGACTGTATAAGTAATTTCTATCTTTTTGATTATTATTGTGAGCATTGTCAACGTAGCATGCATTTTTCATTCTTTACTTTTTTCCCTTTGTTTTATTGCAGTTTTTATGCATATAAGAAGACACTGATTTGATAAAAATAGGAACAAGTTTCAAGCTAAGAATGATGCAGATTTTACCAAAAATATAAATACCATACAAAAAAATTAGCTGCAATGAAAAATAATCTTTCACTTTGCATGTTTTCATCAGCCTTGTAAGGGAAGATCACATTAAAATGTTGATGATTTTATCCCTATGTAATTAATATACAATTTCTTTCCTTTTAGAAAACTAGAGTTCCTATCTAACGAAGTGCATCAGTATACAGAAAACTCATTTTACTAAAATACTTTGTGCTCATTGTGAAGAAGACTTGGATCAATTAAATTAAATAAAAAAATCTATCCAATGCGTGTCTCATCATTAAACCAAACATCTTATTCTCTATGCTTTAAGAGAAGGACTGATGCAAGTACCTTGATTTGTTTTTGTTGTTCTTAATATGCTTTTTTTTATTGGTTTCTTCTAGTAAGATATCTTATCCTTTTCTCTTGTGCATTTCACTCTTCTCTGATTAAATTTAGTTTTTGTGAAAAAAAATGGGTAAATTCTTGAATGGTTTTGACGTATAATTATATAATGTTTGATTTAATTTGCAAAACTCTTATGGTTCTTGATAAGTTTAATGGTTTGTTATTGTAGATAGTGTGAATCTATCATATCTATATGGTTATATTTTTTTGGGGTAAATTACACTCCCATTCGTAGAGAGATGCTTAAATCACACCCTTACTAACAACTTGGTGACTTTATAACATGAGATGAAGATTTTAGGTGAAGTTACAATGCATGGAGGGTGTTCTAAATCCATGAAACACGACTTTGACATATACACTTTGACTTGGCTAATGTCTAAAATATTGAGCACATATATATATTCTTTTATATTCACCTTTTTCTTATGAATAAGCCTAAAAAAAGAATATTAACAGGCATTATTTTATAATGGAAGAACTTGGTGTCTTTATAATTTTTTTTAAAATAATATGAAATTATATCTTTTAAGAAAAGTATATTCACCTTCTCAAATCTACTAAGCTTTTTCTATGATAACGAGCTTCTGTGGGGAGTCATTATTTTTTAATAATTTATTGTATATTTTAAGTTGACTTTCCCATAAGTTAAATAAAGAGTATTAATGACATTAGTGTGATGTCCATCTGAATGGAGGTGTCAGCTTAAGTATCTGAGCTGACAAGGTATTCATAAAGTTTTAGACATTTAGAGTTGCATAGAGAGAAAAAAAAAATGCGATTGGGAGGGTCATTCATAGTTTCTCACAATTGCCAAGAGATTCATTTACGCCCAAATGAAGCATAGCGCATTTTCATCTCTCAAGGAAAGGGAACATAATTTACCATTTTTCTTTCTTAAAACTGGTTTTGTAAGGGTGGTTCTCTATAGATGGTGCAAAGTTTGATTTTCTTTACCACTCATTTCTATTCTGATAGTGCATTTCTATATTCATCTACTTGTGTTGACAGACTACAACAAAGAAGAAAATTACTTCCGCCTTTTCATTTCCCGCTGAACTTGATATGCGGTATAGAATGTCTGAGTTGTCTCAGTTCGACTTGGTATATGACTTGTCAGCTGTACTGATTCACAAGGGAACTGGTGCTAATAGTGGCCATTACATTGCTCACATCAAGGATGTGAACACTGGGCAATGGTGGGAATTTGACGATGAGCACGTTACTAATTTGGGTTGCCATCCATTTGGTGAAGGCTCTTCAAGTTCTACTAAATCCATCAAGACTGATGCAATTCATTCTGATAGTTCTGAAACAATGAAAGCTGTCAGTAATGGAAATGGTTTTAATGCCACTCATTCACAATCTTCGCTTGTGGAGACATTTTTGTCTAGTGATGCGTACATGTTGATGTACCATCTTAAACATGCAAAAAATGTAGGTGAAAGTGGAGGAGGAATTTGTGGTGTTGACCATAAAGAAACAGAGGGTGTTGCTTTGCAAAATGGTGCTCCTCTTCCATCTCATCTTTATGATGAGATTCAAAATTTCAATACCTCATATAATGATGCTTGTCAGCAGTACAATAACAGGAAAGAGTTAGAATTGAGCCGTATTACCGAGAGGAGACAGGAAGTACGATCTATTTTAGCTGAGGCTCCTGTTCAACCATTGGAGCAACCATTTTATTGGATTTCTAGTGAATGGCTTCGCCAGTGGGCCGACAACATTATTCCAACGTTAGTACTTAAATTTCTAGTGAACGCATATTTTAGTAGTGTGTAGCTAAATTCTTTCTTACTCATCATTGGTTGAAATCCCTTTTTGTCAATTATTATGGTATGGTTAATTAATGCATCTTACAGAGTGCTTACTTTGCTATGTATACGCAGTCCTCTTGACAACACACCAGTCCAATGCTCGCATGGGAAAGTCCCAGTTTCAAAGGTTACCTCTATGAAGCGATTGTCTACTAAGGCGTGGAATGCGTTGTTCTCCAAGGTGACTTTTTGCTAGTCTGCTATTACTTGTTTATTTGGATTTTAATTGTCTACTTTGTGGGGTCATTTAGTGATCAACATATGATAGGATAAGATAGGGTATGAAAGCAGGATAAGAAATAATTGTACCAATGATATAGGATGGACAATAGGATAAGAGAATCTTATTTTATCAGTATACCAAAGAACTGATTCGTCAGAATAGGATAGTTATACTATCCTATCATATCTTGGTTAATGGTCACCAAACAGGCCATTAATTGATTGGGAGTTCTTATCTTTATTGCAATTTTTTTATTGTTATTAGTTTTATTTTGTTGCCACTATGTCATAAATAATGATGAAATGTTACCACTTACCAATGTTAATATGTCTTGGGGTAGGATAAATTTAACAAGTAACTCCCTTTCAATCTATTTTGTGGTATTGTGTTGGACGTTACTTGTAGGAGAGATGAAAAGAGGATTTATCAGATGTATTGGAGACAAATCTAGTGTTCTAAATGAACTTAAGAAGTCGAGGGAGTGGTTGTCTTGATCATGACCACATTTCTTTCTGTTGATGCCTGTAACAAAACTAGTGTCTATAGTCATATGGGGGGCTAATGGAACAGTAATTTTCTGACAAAGTCTCATGTTTGCAAAGTATCTGGTTTATGTGAGAAGGACGCCATATAAGAGAAAGAATTGCAGCTTCTGATATAATTGACAGGAAGTGAATGCTCTGCTGAGAGATTTAGACAATGATGATTTTCTTTTTTATGGTTTATTAGTAGTATATTCCCCCCAAATTCTTGTTCCTATTGCTACTTCAGCACTGATCATTTTGCTTTTATAATATCAATGACATGTTCCCTTTATTGACTTCTGAAATTCAGTATGGTGGGGGGCCGGCATTGTCTAATGATAACAACTGCTGGGATTGCCTGATTCACGGGGCTATGACAGTGGTGTCAGCTGACACCTATCGAGATAGAAGAGAATCGATGAAGTCACTTGCGCGAGATATTTTAGATGGAAACTGTCTAGAAGGGAAGTATTACATATCCAGACCATGGTATGATAACAAAATTTCTCTCCTCTCTCATGTCATTCTTGCTACCAAAAAAGGGATTGAAAGGAGTGGGGTTGAATTCTATCACCTGTTTTCATTAGCTCCATTGTTTTCTTCTCTATAACATAGAGAAATATTATAGGCAAATTAGAGTTCAATAGTTGTCTATAAACATTATTTGCAACAAAACATTGTGGCATCATATGATCTATGTAGCTGACATCACCTAGTTGGAAAAGGCATGGTGGTGTTTTTTTTTACTTTACTATACTATTAAGATAGTTTAAAAGCAATGATTTTGGATCATGTCATGCTGAGAAACATGCTTTTGTAGGTTGCAGCAGTGGTGGAAAAGAAAAGTCCTTGATGCTCCATCAGACGCTGATGCTGGACCAACAGCAGCCATTAGTTGTCCACATGGTCAATTGATGCCTGAGCAAGCTCCTGGTGCTAAGCGGGTGCTTATTCCTGAGAGCTTTTGGCTCTTCTTACATGAAGATGCTGTTTCTGTAAAGCCTGATGATCCTTTAGGTGGCCCAACTTTTTCTTCAGATTCTGAAGAGTGTTCCCAATGCAGTAATGAATTATCTCAAGTAGCATGCTTGGAAGACTCCTTGAGGTTTTATCATTCATTCATTGCTATTAATGTAGAGATTATGTAGACAAATTTTAAAATGACTTCTGTCTTTATGCTGCAGATTAGTTAAACAAAGGCAACGTCAGAATCATGAGAAATTATTCCAGGCTAAAAGTATGCCACTTTCTCTGCATTGCAAGTATTTTCTGGTGCCTTCTTCATGGGTTTCAAAATGGAGAAATTACATTACTCCAACCCTGAAGAATTCAGATAAACCAGAAACTTTAGATGGGGTAATTGATTCACTGCTGTGTGAAAAGGTACATTGTTACTTCACCTTGATGTTCTGTCATATTTTGCATCTTTTTCCACTGTATGCAATTAGTTTCTATTTAATGTCATTTTGACTGGTTTGGTTAAATTTGAGAAAAATGTTTATGTGCAACTGTTATGAGGAGAAGATTTATTGCTAAAAAGTATCCTATCCAGCATGTGATAGGGACTTTAGTAGCAGAGATTACTCTTCAACTGATGGAGTGATTGGGTCTGCACATTGATAACCTTTTCATTCTTTCTAATTTAATCTTTAGGAAATTGTTATGATGAGTTTTTTTTTTTTTGGGCACCAGCACTCGCAGCTTGTTGAAAGACCTCCTGATTTGGTTTTCAGACGTGGTGCTATAATCCAGAGGGAGTCTTCTGTAAGTTTGTTTAAAAAACAGATTATTTTCTATAATTGTGTCATGAAATCTTATGTTATTTTCTTATTTGAGACAAACTAAAATCACTTATTTTAGTATGTTTTGAATCTCTTTAAATATTTAACCAAGTAAATTATGAGTCCTTGTCATCTATTTGCTCTTTCATTTTGTTTCTCCATTTTCGCATTGTAGTTGGTGTAGTTTTTTGTTACTTATAACTGTATTGTCTTGTTTCTATGTTTCATTCCATCAATTATGTGGATTCTAGGCAGGTGGCTTAACCATTGTAACTGAGAATGATTGGAAATGCTTCTGTGAAGAATGGGGAGGTATTGAGACCAAAGGAATATCTGCAACAATTGATAATGTTAATGATTCAGAGAATGTTTTGACTGGATCCAGTGAAGAGATGCTAATATGCAAGGATCAGCTGGGCACTGTGGATAAGATGAATAATGAAAATGGATCTGGACAAATTTTAATTAAGACTTGTCCTGAGGTAATCCAAAACTCAGCCTTAGTTGATTATGCTATGTTTGGCCCTAATCCTCCATTTCTTGCACTTTAGTCTTTTAGAAAATAAATCTCACGGTTGCAGTTTTTCATACATATATTACACTTTAGTTCTGAAAGCTGTGTTCTTGGATTTCCTGTTTTCCCTCTGCTACCTCTTAGATCCTAATTCCTATCATCTCATTGATGTCACAATAACTCTTGTTTGAGAAAAAAATGTTTCTTTAAATGTTGCTGAATAAATGCATCAAATGTGGAAAAAAAGGTATTCTCAATTTGTGCATTTAACTTGATTGACAATATTCTTGGTTAATAATGTAAATGAAGTTTGAAGGGTGTGTGTGTGTGTATATATATATATCAATGTAATATTTAGCTGACTGAATAATATACCCTGCTGCCACATTCTCTCACAATTCTATAATCGACTTGTGTCATTGCATTTTTGTGTCTAGTTCATTCTGATATTCTTGTGCAAAATTATCTTTCTTTTAGTGGTTAATATATTTGACCTCTTGTTTGCACTATTTTTTTTTTCCTTTCAATGTGCAGGTTTGTGAAAGTTGCATTGGAGAAAGAGAGAGCTGTGAGCTAATGCAGAAACTTAACTATTGCAACGAGGACATATTTGTAATACTTGTTCGTGGTAAGGAGGTACCTAGATCAATATTGGAGGCTTCAAAAGGATTCATCGAAACAGATCGGCGAGTTTCCAAACGTTCCCGCAAGACTAAAAATGGGAGTTCAATTAGTCTAAAAGTTTCTGCTTCAACATCTTTGTATCAGCTGAAAATGATGATATGGGAATCCTTTGGGGTATGTCTAGTGTATGTTGAATGCATTTGCTTTAGTTCAGTTTATGGAATTTCTGACACTTAGGCTGGTGCATAATATTATATACATTCTTGTTATTGAAGCATATTAGAAACATTCTTGGGCTCTTATAATCTTATGGCCAAGTAGCCAAAACCTCAAGTCATGCAATTAAAGTTTTAGTACGAGTTAGTATCGAGTTTTAGCCATGGAGTAAGCATCTTATTTCAATGTGAAGGAACTAATCATACCTCAGGGATTAAGCATCATTAGATAGGCATTATCTTCATAGGGTATACACATGAAATGACAAGATAGGTGGTTTTTTTCACTTTTATCATATAGCCGATGTTATTTTCAGCATTAATGATAATCAATGAATTGGTATAAAAGATGGCACAGCTTCATGATGTCTAAGTTTTTTTATCATGAATCTTATCAGTGATGGTTGCCCTCCCAGGTTGTTAAGGAAAACCAGATACTACATAAAGGTGATAGGATAATTGATAGCGAGAATGAATGTGCTACCCTCGCGGATGTGAACATATTTGCTGGAGATCAGATTATAGTGAGAGACTCTGAGATCCATGAAAATCGAGATATTGCTGGTAAGCTATTTGATAGAACCATAGTGGCAATGTGCAAGTAATGTTTTTTATCCTCTTAAAGTGGAAAATGGAAATATAGGATACACAGTCAGAAATGAATTATCTTCATGTTTTGCAGATGAGCTTTGCGATGATAAAATGGATCTGCAGCATACTGAGGAAGGGTTCCGTGGAACACTTCTCACAGCGAATGTTTCATCCCAGGTTGTTTAAGAACTGCACTCTCAGTAGCTGATATATCTCTGTAGCATCTTTTTGTTGGTGTATATATATCTAAAAAAATCAGTTGAATGAAGTAGTTCGGTAAATGTAAATCCATGTGCCTGGTGCTTTTTAAGTTTTAACTGTCAACTCTACTTTTTGTCCTCCAAAGCCAAGATAAAGGCAAATTTTGGAATGTATTTCTCTACTAGTAACTCGAGGAACACGCATATTGTTAAAAGTTCAGTTAAAGTTTAGAATGAGAAAAACAATTTGGGAAAAAACATTGTGAGAAAAAAAATATTATTTGTTTTAAGTTTACTTATTTATTATGAATTATGAATACTTATCAGTTATTATGAAGTCCGTCTACCTTCTGGTTATTTTGGGGGTTACCTTCATCATAGTTTTCAACATGAATTATTTATTATTTTTAACCGTTGGCCGAATCATATCTATCCTTTTTTTTCAAACAATTTACGCCAACTAAAAGAGAATCTCGTGTTGTATATAATAAATTAGTTAGTCTTCTTACTCTTGCATAGGAAACACACGACTTCTCTGAGATATTCTTTTGTTGTATATAGTAGACACTAGATACTTATTCACTATTTATTGTGCTTTGTACATATTTGGGTCAATAGACTTGCACAGTTTAGTCTTGCTATCTTTCTCTTTTCTCAATTTATTGTATGAAAAGAAATGGTTAATATTTCATGAGACGTCATTAAAATTTACTAAATTATTTCACTTTTCGTTTCATATGATTGAAATGAAAATACAAACAGTTGTGTAATTTTGATAAAAATAAAATAAATGAGCATCAGTCTCGGAACACATTCTTTATGTGTGGGAAGGGGTTGGAGGACTCACGCATGCAATATATTACAACTAAAAAAATTAGTTGGTTTTTTTGACAACCAGACACGTTTGGTTATTATTTTTTTAAGACCTACGTGACAAATAAAACAGTGGTTAATCCATCACAAAATAAAATAAAGCACATGAGCAACGATCAAGTAGAAAAATTGGGAAGGAGTAAATTTATTTATTTGTATCAGAATAGAATGATCATGTGTGTTTTGTTCTTGCAGTTGCAGGGGTATTGAACCATTTATAAATTCAACGTATATGATTTGAAGAATTATGGGATGACACCGAACCATCGATCCTAACCAGCATCTACTGCTCCTTTACTCCTTCTAGTACGTGAGCCATCAATTTGCATATCCTTTATTTATTGTGTTTATTCACACATACAATCATAACTTTCATCGTTAAATATATTGCAAACAGTAAGACGATCACTTGCAATGGTAGCAGAAGATCAGGAACGGACTCAGCGCTTGAAATGACATTGCACAACCACATAGCCAATTTAGATGATGTGAAGTAATCAAAGACCCTTGTTTGCGATATAAGCTTAAGAAAAACTTTAGTTGCGTGTTTTAGCTTACGTTTTGCCGACAGTAGAGAGTTTAAAATTCTTCCAATTCTTCCTGCATTATCATAATCATATTATTGTAATTATACCCAGGTGTTGCTAAACATTCGTGAGAAAAGTAAAATTGTTACCGGTAAAGTTGTCAAGCCATTTATAGGCTTATATACAGTGGTTTAGATGAACTAACTAATTCCTAACTAATAATTTATAACTACTTTTAATATTCCTCTAGAAGTTGGAAGTGCATGTATGCACTTTACAATTTCCTAGAAACTAAATTTTTAACATTAGATTCAGAAAAGTAAAAAATAATAAATAAAATTGTATCAAACGTTCCCAAGAAGTTGGAAGTGCATATTTGTATCTTACGGCTTGGAACGGGTGATATCAAATGAAACCTAATCAAATCCAAATATTGAGGTAATTATCAAAGCCAACATAGATAAACTACTTAATCACTTGGTAGCACTATAAAGAAAAAAAGACACTAAAAGTGAAAATTGGATAGTGTTAATAAAAAATTTACTTTTTCATGAAAGAGTGACCCAAAAGAATATAAAGTATTTTTATATTAGTTTATCTCAATCATTAATGTTACATCCGGTTCTTGATCAAATTTAATTAAGTTTTATTATTTTTTATCAAAATATAAGTATTATTTCACAAGTCATTTTTAATTTAACCCATGTATTTTTTGACTTATTTCTTCCAACAATTATTAAACTATTCTTTAACAGAAAACCTCTCTAGACTTCAAACAACCAAATATTTTTTTATAAATAAGATTCTTCAAGCTCAAAACAATTAAGTATTTTTTTATAGTTAAATATTTGTAGACTCAGTAAAAATACAAAGTTAAAGTTGAGTGAAAAGACTATGTTATTTGACTTATTTTTAAGATGTGATACAATTATATTAAGTATAAGGTTTATATACGAAAAGAATGAATATAATTTTTACAATTTGCATTCTTTTCTCTTTTTGTGATTCTTCAAACTTCCTAATATAGGTGCTTCAGTGAAGATAATCCTTATAAATCCTTGAGTATTTCTCATGTGGTTAATAAATAATAAGAGTTTAGGATTGGTAAGGAACTAGATAGAGCACTTGTGAACAAGTCTTAGATAACTACTTTTTTTGAAAGTCTTTGTGGAGAATCTATGTTATTTTTACTCAGATCATTATCCTATCATATGCACGGGGTGGGGGGGGGATTGCAAACACACTTCATGAGAGACCTTTCAACTTTCAAGCAAATTGGGTGACTCATAAGGACTATGATATGGTTGTTAAGAGAGCTTAGGATAAAAAGTCTTCAAACATGACCCTTTGCTTGAATCGAGTGAAGGAAGATTCTCTTATCTTCAATAAGAATATTTTCGATAATATATTTAAACATAAATGGATAGTTCTAGTGAGGTTGAAAGGGTTACAATTAACTCTTGGAGAGAGAGAAACTGATAGTCTCATCTGGCTTGAGAAACAACATTCATGAAGAGATTTAGCTTCAAGAAGAAATTTTATGGTATTAAAAATTACATGAGAATTGGGTTCATTTTGGTGATAGGAATACTAAATTCTTTCACATCCAAACCCTTGTGTGATGCAAAAGAAATAAGATTCATGGACTCTTCTTAGAAGATGAAACTTATAACCTTAAGGTTCTAAAGAAGAAGGCTTGTAGGTACTTTCTATCTCTCTTTGTGGATTACAATCCTTATAATATTCCTTTTCAGGCTTAGGTTACTGCATAATTGAGAAATGAGGAAACTAATGCACTGATATTGTCGGTGTCAAAGGAAGAGGTCCATAGCATGGTCATGGGTATGAAATCCATGAAAGCTCTAGGTCGAGATGGTTTTCAACCATTCTTTTACAAATAATATTGACAAATGTGGGTCGATATCTCTACAACCTAGTTCAGAATGTGTTCAACTGTGGGTTTGCAGACTCAAACCTCCTTGATACCCTTATTGTGTTAATTCATAAGGTAGATCAACCCTCTAGATTGAAAGATTTTAGATCTATAAGTATTTGTAATGTGGATTTTAAAATTATAATGAAGGTTATTGTTGCAAGAATAAGACATTTTCTTTAAAATATTATTAGACCCTTCCAGAGTAGTTTTATTCTTGGAAGGGGTACTACTAACAATGTTATTCTGGCTTAGGAAGCGGTTCATTGTATTCACAAGTCAATATCAAAGAAAGGTATATAGCCATTAAGGTTGATATGGAGAAAGCTTATGATAGAGTCACTTGAAAGTCTTTGCATGAGGCAGAGTGTAACGACTCGGCTGGCCGCCACACATAGATCAACACCACAACACCACACAGAAAGGACATACATATATCCAATTAAATTATATACAATGTCTAATCTGGGGCCTGAAAATATCAATGTACAAATACAGCCCAAAGTAGCTAAACTAGTGGCCAAAAACAACAAAACATCAAAAGAATAACTCCATCTGCCAGCTGCAGACCTGCCTCTCGACACCAAGCTAACCCTGCTCTACTCCCATACAACGTATGATCATCGTAGTCCAAACCACATGGAAACAACAAAGGGTAAGCTAGTGAAAAACATCAACATATATACGTATAATTACAAGAATTATAATCAGCTACAGTTAACAGCATATCAACCAGTTTAACAACATTAGCATATAGTTTATTACAACATACATCATTCAGCAATAACAACAGTAAACACACAATGCATCGTCACGCATATCAGCTCGGAGATCTCCTACAACAGTTCAGCCTTACGGCCTACAACAGCTCAGCCTTACGACCTACAACAACTCAGCCTTACGGCCTACAACAGCTCACCTAGCTCATATCAGCATGCAGCACAACACAACAAATCAACATACATCAGCATACAACACAACTAAATAATAAATAACACAGCTTAAATAGCTCACAACACAGCAATATTATAATTCAGCATTATCATCTAACAGCACAATACTATTCATCATTTACAGTTCAGCTCAACATATAACAACATCTATCAGCAATTTCATCAAAATTCAACATATATCAGCATATAAGACAACATATCATCCGCGCCTGGCGCACTCATGGTCGCGCCCGGTGTGGCACAACCAGAGAGCATCAGGGCTCAAACGCGCCCGGCGCAATACCTATTGCGCCCGTCATGCTAGGATGCAGAGACCTCAAATGGTCTCACACGCCCGTCGTGCAAACCCGCGCTCGGCGCAAGGTAAGCAGAGACTTTCCCCAAGGTCTCACGCCCAGCGCAATATCAATTGTGTCTGGCGCCACCTCTGGCAGAGACTCCGAAGGAGTCTCCATGCCCGGCGAGACAGGGTCACGCTCGGCGTCACACCAGAACCTCAAATACCAAGTTACTTCCTGATATCGCGCCCAACACGGTCCCATCACGCCCGGCGTGGGTCATCCAAAGGCTCACATTCTCAAGCTCGCCCGGCACACACACCCTTGCACCCGGAAGGCTTGCCCAATGAAGCCCTCTGGTAGTCACGCGCCTGGCGCGAAGAACTGGGCCCAGCGTGATGCTCAGCAACAACCCTCAAACTTTCAAAATTTTCTTCAAGACTTGTAAAAACAACCAGAAAACCAACATGCAAACCAACCAAAAGTTCACATTTTCATCAAGCATTAAGAAAAACGCCTCATTTTCAACATGCAACCTCAAATCATGAAAATCCCCAATTTTTCACCCAAACCCCCGAAAACCCCAAAACTCTATTTTCATCGATCTCAGCCATCAATCCGCAAAAATCAACCATCATGTGAGTTTCTAGCTCACTAAAACAAACAACCGGCAAGAAAATTCTAGCTTCCCTTACCTCGGTGCGAGAATCCGAGTTTTCGGGAAGGAGACAAGCTTGAACGAGGAAGAAAAGGAGAAGAAGGAGAAACTCCGTACGGCTCAACTAGTAATCCAAACACTACTCTTGACCAGCACCTTGAATCCAAGCAATGAGAGAATGAAGAGCCAAGTGAGAATTGAGAAGGAAGAAGAGAGTGAAGAAAAGAGAGTGAGAGTGGAGAGTGAGTGAAAGTGATGAAGGTTGGGGAAAAAGGAAAACGGAGGTGGGGGCCTCACACAGAGATCCTGTTCGGGTTTCCTATTCCTATTATTAAGCTGATAATGTGGGGGGTGACAGGTTCTAGATTAGCTATATTATAGAGTGGTTCAGCTTTAGAGGACTTCGCACCACAAAGAGGTTTAAGACAAGGAGATCCACTCTCCCCATAAATTTTTGTTTTTTTCCTGGAGAGATTAACAAGCTAGTGAAGGATGGTGTTTGGAATCCTTTGTTGCTTTCTATAGGTGGTCCACCCTTGTCTCACCTCATGTTTGCAGATGATTTACTCTTTTTCTAAGAAGCCACGATGGGTCAAGTTGATGTTAAGAGAATGATGATCGAGTTTTATGCACCGTCGAGTCTTAGAGTGAATCTTCAAAAATTTAAATTCATTTGTTCTGGAGGGAATAGTAGTGATCAAAGAGTTAACCTTGCTAATAAACTTGGTATTAGCAGTGCTTCATCCATGGGGAAAATATTTAAGGCATAATATTATTACTGGAAGGGCTACTACAAGTGACTTTGATTATGTCGTTAGTAAAGTTCATAGTCGAACAACTGCATGGAAAGGGACATTGCTTAATCTCGTAGGAAGGGTTTGTTTGGCTAAGGATACTTTGCTTTCTATGCAAACATATTGGCTCCCCAGTGCATTTGTGACAAGCTCAATCAGCTCTGCTGTAGTTTCATTTGGTTTAGAGATGGTGTTTCTACAGGGTGGAGTCTCATTTGGTGGGATCAAATTACTAAGCCTAAGATAAATGGTGGATTGGGTATTTGTGTAGCCTGTTCTACGAATACAGCTTTACTGGGAAAACTTATTTAGAAATTTATTGATAAGCCTGAGACTCCATGGGTGAACTTTCTAAAGCACAAATACCTAGGAGATTACTCCATTCTTGCTCTCAAAAGGTCGCATAACCCTTCCTACACATGGCGTAGTATTTTGAAAGTTGTTCAAGCATTGGGAACTGGGTTTGAACCCAAGTTGGGGAGCGGAAGCTCTTTTCTCTTCTATGAGGATTGACTTGGATTAGGCCCTATATGCGATTTGGTCCCTTATGTGCATATTTCAAACAC